GCCTTTACTTTCCAGGACTGCACCCGGTACCCACTCAAGCCTGGGTCAACCTGGGAACCTAGGTCGTTTACCCACGACCTTTCGATCCGCGGCGAGTGTCTAGCCGCTCCGCCACGGCGACTCCCAAAATTGTGTGTACCTCTAAAAATAGAATATACAGTACTTGACACACGCATGGAGATTGTCGGGAAATTAGTTCACAGGTGTAGTGATGCCTGGTGATTATATTGATAGCCTATCCAGCATACAATGGAAAATCTGCAACTCATAGGAGACTAATGAGGAAGATAACCACCTGAGTGTGAAACGGACATGACGCGCCTACGGTGTTTTGAAAAATTCCCGTTACTTAGTTTACTGTAAGCATGCTGAATCTTCGCTTGCTTTTTCTTTTTCACATTCACCAGCTTTAAACTGCGGCGAAAAGTTTTGGTTGTTCACACATCCTTGGACTTTAGACTAATTCCAGTACCTGAATATTGAGTGCACATCCCTTTCATAGATCTGATTTTTGTGTATGCAGACTGTTGGTTTCTTGCCTCTCGGGCAGATGCATTCCGACTCTGAGGAAAATCCTAATTAGTCTACTCTTACGACATGCTTGTTAGGAAGGCAGTATGTCTATCCTTCTTTTCCCCACAAAAGGGCCCCAGAACCAACACGGGGAAATCGTTTGCTTTGAATCGGTGTGTGTGTATGTGTGTGTGTTTGTGTGTGTGTGAGAGTGAGTATGTGTGTGTGTGTGATTTCATATACCAGAAATAAAGCAACATGACAGCTAGATATTTGTTACATTGAGGGGAAAAGGGGGGGGGGGGACAATCTTACAAGGACATGCATGGGTGTGTGTTTATATGTTAGTTACAACTGACACTTCATTTCGGAAGTAGACATACACGTATTCAAAAGTTTCAACGTTCTTCTGTTGTGAACTTAATGACTTCAAAATCACAACAGTACAACATATGACATCATAACATCCGGAACGTCTAAAAAAGGATCGGGAATAAATGTAATCAAGGGGTAAGGTAAAAGAGATGTCTCAGCTGGAAATACAAACACAGAAACCCCAAAGTTTTCATGGAAAACAGACGTTTATTGACTTGACGGCCGCTACGTCAAGAAAGGAAAAAAAAATACATGTAGATAGACGGATAAACGGATAATTGCTTTTCGTCTGAAGCAATACTGCCAAGCAAAAAATAGATTCGCCTGACATAGCGTGTTGCTAGTGAAAATCTGGAAACTGAATGGGGTTATAGTGACTTAATGTAGGTGCTCTTGGCTACCAAGACAGTGTTCTAGTATTATTCGGTCCTGCAGGGAACATATCAATCTGGTGCCGTCTCTACACTGAAGGTTGGCTGCAGTGAATCTCCAACACGCTCTTTGTGTATTGGTTCCTCGGCGCATTGCTTGCTACCTGAAAATGTTGCCAAGTCATAATTTGTGTTAATGTATCAGCTTCTTTGAAAGTCCCCCTTATTTTGGATACTACTCGTTCAACCGCACTGTTTTACGACTTGTCTGCAATACTAGATCTGAAAAAAAAAATATCCAGATTCTAAAGGTTACTGCTGACTTCGAAATGTTGCCCTTCTGTAAACGGAAGTATTCTTACCGCTTCTTATTGATTTAATATCACTCTTCTAGCTTTAACGATAGAACCCATTTCTTATCCAAAACTAAGGTACAAGATGGCAAGCATTTCTTTAGTACAGGATTGCTGAAAGGAAGATTCAATTATTGATAACACAATGCTACTGTTTTTAGCCAAACAACAGTGTCGTTTGTACTGACAGACTGATTCATCTGGAAGGGAAAAAGAGGACCCTGGCGCCAGGAAAAAGGCGGGCTTTTGTTGTTTATAGCTAGCAACATCGGTATTTGGCTAATGAGGAAAGGGGCATGTAATATGTGGGAATGTCCCGAGTGAAGTGATATCAATACGTATTCCTTTCTTCGGTTTAAATATATATATATATATATATATATATATATATATATATATATATATATATATATATATATATATATATATATATATATATATATGTTGTTGTATTAAAGCACAACTTTATACATTGTTTGTAGACATAGTTTCGTATCTCTGTGTACGTATAAGCTTCATGTTTTGCTGTTGTCTAAAATATCCATAAACACATGTCCCTTTCTTTGTATCAGTGACGTTTTATTTAAATTCTGCCAAGTTTAGTCTTCTCAGGAATCACCTACTTTTTCAACTGTGAATGAACGTACCATCCTGGCCCCTTAAAATGATAGTTAGCACTTGATTCAATCGTTTGGTTGAAAGGTAAGGCTACTGTCATGGTTTACACTGACTATAGGTTTGAAATATTTGACCTTTGCATAATACTAGGTCACTACAAAAAAATAATGTTGGCTGCTTTGCTGTTCTATTCCCGGCAGTTTGCACACCCTGCTTCATTTCTTTAAAACACAGAAAAGTATCAACAACAATTTTACAGTATTTTTAATTATAGTGTTGATTCTCGACACTCTGTCCATCTTACCTTATTTCCTTAAAGCTCAGAAAGGTATCATCGCCAATTTTACAGTATTTTTTAATGATGGTATCGATAATGATGATGATGACTGATGTTTCAACCCAGACCATTCGATTGGTGGGAAAATCCACTAACCACTCTGCGGCCTTAGCTGTAGTTTTCATTGATCTGAAATTTAATTTTCCCAAAGAATTCCGTTGTTATGTAATCGAACCCACAGATGCATAGAATTAAAGGAAGACCATAAAACACATTGAGAAAATAGCTATAGAGTGCAGTTATAAAGATGGGGAGGACATGGGGCGGGCTTCATGCGATAGCGAAGGCTAGAACGACTTGGCGTGCGTTGGTTGAGGGCATTTGCTCCATTAGGGGCTAGAAGGACATAAGAATAAGAAGAGACTACTGTAGTTGGCAGATCTTGTTCATTCACTTGGTGCTCCGAGTTTGACACAGACTAAAATGGGTAGCAAAAAATGGCCGGAAAGTAAAAGCGGGTCACGTGATTCTGTCCACGTCACCCATCATGTGTCCACTCATCAAGAAAATATTGATCTAGGCAGGGCTTTGATGTTTGTTAATACGTAATACCGGGATTTTTGTTTTGTTTTGGAGGCATCATTGTTTTCAACACTGCTGTAATAGACACTGTGTGTTAAGAACCGGCACCTCTTTTTAGAGCCTTCATGGTGAGTAAAGGACCCTTTTCCATCCCCCTCCCCCTTTAGATGTAGTGTGTATATGGTACCAGACCTATTGATTTTTACCCCGAAAATGGATGCATGTTTATACCGATGGATCTGCATTCAAAGCTACCATTAAAGCAGGTTACGGAATCTACATAGGTTATCCTGGTGGATCTTTTGAAGAGATATTTGATGCATGCGGGGGAATTCTGCTCAAATTATAAAGCTGAAATAATTGCACTGGAAACAGCAGTATACCACCTAAAGACTGTAATGGATGTCTTTTGTTCAAACACCCAAATATTGTCATCTTTACCGATTCAATGTCTGCTCTTCAAGCTCTGGAGGGCAATGAACGCTGCAGAACTGACATAGCCAAGATAATTCTATATGCTGATCATCTTACCTCATACAACATCAGAATAGTGATGCAGTGGATTCCAGGCCACTCCGGCACACCAGGTAATGACAGAGCTGACAGACTGGCAAAGAAAGGAGAAACACAAGAACAACCACCTACAGCGACAACCCTACAGACAGCAAAAATACTTGTAAAAGCTATAAACAAAGAGACTTGGCTGAACAGATGGGCCATGGGAGATACTGGAAAAGCCTTGATCCTAATGAAAACATTACCCATTTAACAAGAAGGGAGAAGGCAACCATCTTCAGACTCAGAACACAACATACTCCACTCAACGGACACCTAAACAGAATACAGCCACAACACTCCCCAGAATGCTAGCTATGTAACTACCCCTATGAAACTGTTGAACACCATCTCTTTGGGTGCCCAAATCTCAAGAGACTAGAAGAATGCTACTCCCTCTCAGACCAGACAGGTGGAAATCCTTGTAGGGAGGAAAAGAACAGCTTGTGAAAACATGTAAATTCCACAACATGGCATTGGGCCAAAGGGCGAAAGCTCGTGTGCCGCTGAATCGATAACATCAACAATAGCAGAGCCTTCATGGTGAGTAAAGGACCCTTTTCCACCCCCACCCCCCTTAGGTGTAGTGTGTATATGGTGCCAGACCTACTTATTTGTACCAATCGGCGTTCAGTGGGTGATGTAGTCAACATTATGCCGACTGCCTTTTTTGAACAGGTTATGTAAGGTTGTGTTGATCTGGGAGGCAAGGTCATTTTTTAACGAAATCCGGCTCCTTGCTAATTTGAACTTCATAATGAGTACGGACAACTTTGTTTTCCCTAAAAGAAAAAAGTTCCGGGTCTAGCACCCTATTCCAAGTGTACCAGTTGCATTAAATCACCTGTACATACTTTGCATACTAACTACAGGATGTTTGTAAAGTATCACTACACTCTGTGTGTAGAACAAATGTGAAAAACGAAGCACATGACGTCATCAATATGTGTGCTGCACAGTCAGTTGCGAAGCAACATGCAGTGATTGGCTATCGTCTGCTGGATTAATTCTTTGCACACAAAACATAATGATGTTGTCGCGGAAGCAATCAGAATTACTATATAAGAAATAAAAGCAGACAAGTTGCAGTATAGAAAGACATGAACAGTAATATTTTTAAGTCCGTGGTGGACATCTTGAAGACCTGTTATAATGAATATTTGATTGGCACTTTCCACCTCCCCTAAAACAGCGTTATATGATAGCAGTGACTATTGTTACTAATGTAATGACTTTCTGAACATTTTTGAGTGTAGTGAGGCTTTACGAACACCCTATACTTCAGTTAAACATTAATTATATCTGTTCCATTTTCTTTCTTCGCGTATGCCGGCGGGTACCTTGACATGCCGACAGGATATCATGAGATTTACCAGCCGTTTTCTCAACAGACTGGGCAGTTACTCCAGGAGTAGCAACTTGGTGGTCGTCATGCAGGTACACGGAGACTCCATGCAGCAATGCATCTGTTTTGTTTGCTACGCTTGTGCTTTGTGGTGTGTGCTTTCGCTAAACTGGGCATTGCCATATTAACGCCTGATTTGCAGATGTATCAAACTTTGGGGTGCTGTTTGCATTGTCAGTTTCATAGAAGATTCATAAAACATTATCGAGCTTAGTGGTATTTATGTTACTGCTAAGTCACAAATAAGCGCAATTAAATAAGGTTTTGTTAAAAAAAAAAAAAAAAAAAAAAAAAAAAAAAAAAAAAAAAATTTAATTCCTCCATTAAAGTTAAAATTTGATGAAATACCACTAAACATTATGTAGTGATGGGTGTGGAAATATTTCAGTAATGGCAGATGCTTTGATTTAATAAAACATCGGGGAATAATGCCTATATTTTCAACAAATTTTCTATAAATAAGAGAAAATATATTAATCTTTCGTTTTAGTTTCAGCTTTCTTATTATTTCGTAACCGTTTCGATTTAAGCTGTAAAAAATTTAGACGTGCATTTGATTACAAACAGGCATCTTCTGACTACATGCAGGCTTGTGTTTCCTATACAGATGATTGGCTTGCCTTCATAATGCTTGTCTTCCCTACATAGGACCTGCATAAAACTTGGGCGTCCTGTACGTACAAACAGGATCGCTCTGTCTGCATGCAGACTTGTCTTTCCTGCATATGATTTGTCCTTCCTACTTACGAGCTTGCACTCCCTACATAAGACTGGTCCCGACATACAGGCTTGACTTTCCTGTTTACAGACTTGCCGTTCATATATACAGGCTTGTCCTGTCTACATTAAGCACTACTCTGCTACAAACAGGTCTCCTTTGACATCAAACATTTCTTCCCTGCCCACAGAAGGCTCGTCCTGCCTACCTAGAGGCTTGCCTTCCCTACATAAAGGCATGCTCTACTATTAACCATGCCCTGTCTGGTTACTTAAGGCTCTTCCTACCTGCAGATATGCTTGTCCTGTCTTCATACATCTATAAAGTATACATATACGATCGGTAAATCATTAATAAAATCAGTAAATGCGACATAAATATTACAGCTGAGCCAAAGTTTTATACATCACTTTCTTTCATAATATAATCAGTACCGCAGATGCGCAAATTGCAGTATCTTCCCGCCAAGGTCAAGTATCTTCTTTTTTAAGCTTGCATTTTTTGTCTGCTGCATGGATCTTTAGCTTTGATTGTCTAATCAAACCATACGTATATTGCATTTCGTATATTGCTTTCATGGCTTTTTTATTTTTAATAACTGTTTTAGCTTATTGATCGGTATTTGCATGCTTGTAAGCGCCCTCTGTGAATTATGCTTATTTATTATAATGTAATACATACGATTACTTTTGTGTCGCATTGTCTTTGACACTATCAGAATGTACAAATATGTGTCAGTGCTATCTTTTCGACGAAATGCTAAGTCTGTGGAGTCACTAAAATTGCACATTTCTTCTCCTGTATGTCTCTTTAGTCTATGATATCTCTAAAACTAACGTTCTTGTTTCCTTGAAAATAAATTGCCTATGTAAAAGCAGAAAATTTTTGCAATACTATCGCGGTCAAGAAGTGCACTGATGACCTTGCATCGAGGCAGAGCAATTTTTAAAACTGTCCCTAAAATTCGACGCAACCTGAAGTAAGTGCCAAGAAAAATTATCAGCCAAATAAAGGTCATCAATAAAGACATACTTCGGAAATTCTTAGAGCTGCTGTAAAGAAGTTGATTAATGTTTATGATCTCTCCTCTGTGATTGTTGGGGAAGTCGGTATGTAGCCAGACAATAAACCTTATTCCGCGTAGCAAAAGTAAGATGTGGCAGCTGGAGAAAATGGGGAAAGCAAAATATAAAAGCATCAGAGAAATAAAAGAAAATAGATAATGCCACATGTTAGATATAGTTTATTTTACCCACCGAGTGCCAATTTACCTATAAAACATGTTGCTAGGGGTATATACCCAATTCTTCTTAAAGTGTGACAGGAATCATTTACTTGCTTGTACTATATATGTATGTATGTATGTGTGTGTCGGCTCTCTAGGTCGATGCGAACGCTTCGTAATGCTGTCGACATATAAACGTGTTCAGTCGACATACATTAGTGCTCTGTCGACATACAGACGTGTTCTGTCGACATACAGACGTGTTCTGTCGACATACAGAACGTTGATTTCGACAGTGGTATCAGGGAGCTGACCGTCCTGAAAGAAATCGCAAACTGCTGGACGTAAATTTGTCTAGAGAAACTACAGAACAGCCAGGGGCTGCTGGGGTTGGTTCTGCAACGTCCTGTAAAGGATACGCAACTAACCTTTTGATGTATGTGTGTGTATTTATATTAGTCGTCTTTGCGAACGGGTTTCGTAATGCCAGGATGCTGGGTTGGATCCCAGCTGCGGACGGTTTGTCTTGCGTTGGTCCTTAAACACGCAGACTTATCTCCCTACACACAGGCTCGCCTTCCCTACACACTTCGTCCTGTCTACACGCCCCTGCCTAAGTACAAGCTCATTCCGCCATCATAGACATTTCCTGTTTACATAAAGACGTGTTTTTTTTTTTTTTTACCATAACATTTCCTAATGCCTACAGACTTGTCCTGCCTACATGCAAGTTCACCCTGACTACATTCAGACTTGTCCTGACTACTTAAAAACATGTTCTACCTATACAGAGGAGAGAATACACGAATACTGATACATTCAGACTTGTCCTGACTACTTAAAAACATGTTCTACCTATATAGAGGAGAGAATACACGAATACTGATAAAATGTTTTTTTTTACATCAGCTCTGAGGTCTTCATAATTATGTTTTCATTGAGTAGATGTGATTACGTCTACAGATATAAACACCATATGTTACGACGGGAAAAAGAGGGAAAGAGAAATATAAAAGTATCAGAGAAATACAAGAAAATACTAAGGAGGTAAAGAGCAGTTTAAAGTAACATCACCAGCCCAAGCGGTAGTAACTGTAGCCGCTGCAGCAGTGGTAGTAGATAGAACCAGAACCAGCAATAACCAGGGTAGTGATATTATTAACTGGAGTATTATTATCATCATCAAGTGCCTTGCCGACTGGCATGGGTGATTATGCCTCTCCACAATCTACGACTACGTGTATCAGTTGGTTTTGTTGACACACCTCCAAGGTCTATGAAGGTTTCCAGATGAGAGAAGAGACATGTGCAGCTGCACTAGACTTAGAGGATGCGTACAGTAGAGTACCATTTGAATACTTGGTGCACATACTTCTCCAACTGCAAGTATCTCCCTTCATCACCCGCTGGGCAGCCGCAGCACTGTTTCAGATACGGGTGATACTCAGGTGTGGTTGTTGGTCCTCAGAACCGATAACCATCAGCCCAGGATTGCCTCAAGGTTCTCCGCTGTCTCCAGTGTTATTTAACGTGTACACAGTGCTGATAACTGAGCAGCAGTTGCACGGGAGTGGCAGGACCTTGTCATTTGCTGATGACCTCTTAGTATATCGACATCGAAGAGATCGTCAAGAGATTGCCAAGTCAGTGCAGAGTGAACTTAATCGCATTTCCTTCTGGTGTGCAGATTCTAATGCTCATGTCAATCCTTCGAAGGCCTCAGTGACGTGGTTTTCTATGAACACGCATATAGTGAATGTAGACATACCAGCAGTGGAAAGCAGCAGGGAAATTTTTACGAGAACAAATCAGTGAGGTTTGATCGCAGCCTATCATTCAAAGAAAATGTTGACCATGTCATAACAAAAGCACGCAAAGGCTTGTCAGCAATGAGGGTCCTGGCCGCCGCTAAAACTGAGCAGAGACCGCTTCTGCTTCTGTTCCAGGGATTTGTACTTTCTCCCATCGAATGTGCTCTTGCATCCTCACTGTCAGCCATACTCAAATTGAAAGACTTGAGAAGATACAAAATGAAGCAATGCGCATTATTCTAGGGTGCTCTGGAGATACCTCTTGTGTAGCAATGAGGTACCTTCTTGACTTCGCTACCATGAACTACAGGAAAAGTCCAGGTGGACGGCCAAAACCTTCTGCTTATTCATGTGTAACTAGTTAGGGTAGGTGGTTTATGTCTTCCAGGATTGCAGTCTGTAGGACTAACACTTCAAGGATAACAATAAACCCATGTCGCCTCGGATGTACAAATAAACTGCTGCATAAATGTGTTTAAATTTCTCTGTTTGATTTGCTATCAGATGAGCCGCGAGGCAATTTCCTATGTTTTTGGTGTACCGTTGCTGTGAAAAAAGTTGAAGAACACTGATTTAAATTGAGTAGCCATGAGTGTGTAGTTGGTGGTAAACAGTAATTCACATTATCAAATTACCGTTGCTCTAGGCTGATCTGCTCCCCCACCTCACCAAACTACACTTGTTTACTAGTAGCACAAACCTAAGCAGTCCTACCTGTGCAGCAATAGGCAGGGTCAGGCACTACCTGCTAATGAGGGGTTTTGTTTGAGAATTCCTCCACAAATCTCTGGCCTGTTCTTGCTTGTGTTTATCAACAGTTTAAAGTCAGTCAGCTCGTGCAGACATACTCGTTAGTGAGGAGGGAATTCAAAGCAGAACTCTTCTTCATACGAAGATGTAAATGCAGTGTGCCGGTTTACAGAATGATTGCGATATTTGCGCCTTTTGATCGATATAACCGCAGGCATTTGTTGCTCGTGTTAGCCTTCTCGGAAGCAGAATTCTAATAATCATAATTCGACAAGTGACTTTACGCATTCACCCCTTAATACATCTTTGTTTCCCGAACTTTGCCCTAAATGCTTCTTTATCTTCGATCGATTCCTGTGAAGTTTCGCAGCGTCAGGACAGGAAGAGATTTCTGGAACGGGTCTTTCTATTCGTTTCGTATATAGTGTTTCCGATATTTCTGCAGTCCATGTTCTGCGGGGTCGACCTCTGGGTCTGCACCGTTGTATCTGTATAACATTGCTTTCTGTTGTTCATTCTCTGTTGCCA